AAAACTTGAAATCGCATCATATGACCCCTTTAATGGATTTTGTGATTCTGTCTGCATTTTCCTGATGGACGGAAATCATAGAGTCTTACATTTGGCGCATTGCTTCATGTTAACCAGATCAACTTTAAAGTCAAAACTGACTTTGTTAATACATGTTCTTGGTCTAAAACCCAAGATATAACCTCAGTAGTCCTCTGTTTCCTTTCATTATACTCGGATTATAAGAACAGGTGAACTCTATGCAAGGCATGGCAGGTCGTCCCAATTCTGCACTCTCTTAGTACACACTCAAAAGTGTTTACTTTCCCATCGTCAGTGAAGTGCATGGTTAGTATAGCAATAGGAATTGAGATGCAGCCAGTATTGTTTTTTATAATTCTCATTGCTTTCTCCTCTCTACACAGGATGTTGCGTGCCGGGCTGCAGCTGCAGGTTCTTGCGGTTCTGCTTGTGTTGTCAGCAGAATGTGGTGAGTTCTGGTTCACTTTTTCTCTCTTAACAGCATTTGAACCAAAATAGGACCTCATGCATATGGGGCCGCTCACACAGGTCATGTTCTTGCATTCCGTAACAGCTGGAAAGAGCAACATGACATGGTGCTGCTGTAATTGTGACAGACCTGTACCTTATTTCATCTGTATGAACACAAAAGATTTTTTATTTTTTCGTTCTTAAAGATTACATTTACACCTGAGATTAAGATTTTAGTTGACAATGTCTGAACATTCAGTTGCAGTCAATGAAAACTGTTTACATTTTAGTCATATTTTAGTCCTGTTTAGTCGTGCTGTATGGTAATGGTTCAACTCAAAAATGAAAGTCACAATTATTAGTCATTTGAGAAAATTTCATTTTACATTTCAACAAAATTATTGCACTTTCATGTAAGCACAAATCAACAGAACACCGACTCAGATGCTTTGTTTATTTGACCTAATCGAGTTTCCTGTCTTATTATATTTTTCTTTTTGTTATTATTATAAGTTAACACTCTGGTTTAAAACAAGAAGATTATCTCAAAAGCTAAAACAAGTAAAATTCCTCATATTAATTCTTAATATTCATAATATGAATTATGTTCATGTTTTATGTCTATGTCTATTAAAACAGCAATTGTAATTAAAAAAAAAATTTTGTAGACTAAAATAAAGTGAGATGGTAAAGTTTATATATATATATATATATATATATGTCTTGTCTTTTGTAAAAACATTGCATGTTGATATATAGTTACAGTTATTGTTAAATTACATAGTTTTTTTATTGTCTTAGTCATGGAAAAAAAAGGTCGTTGACGAACGTTTTTAATCATTCTCGTTAACTGAAACTATTGTGACTTGAAATAAAATAAATGTTAATTGAAATAAAATGAAATAGAAAATGCTTAAACGTATTTTATTTCAGTGAATTTCCAAGGCATCATTTCTCATTTCCGTTTAGTTTAAGTGCTAAAATAATTAAAGCTAAAAATGGAAAAATAAAAACTATATAGACATTTAAAAAAAAAAGCAAAAATTATTAAACTAAAATGAAAATTCAAAATATTAATAAAAACCTATAGGCCTAATAGTATTAAATGATACTAAAATAATGGTAAATTGTATAGATATAATGACAATTTTGCTCAAAATTTATTTAGAGGCCAATATCTTGATTCTGTAATTCTATTATAGTATTTTTCAAAAATAAAAAAAAGTAAAAAATATCCATGCATCAATCCAATAAAGAACAATAATTATCCATCCAATTAAATGCTTGTCATTTTTATTAGTCTTTGTTTTTTGTTTTTCTATTTAGCTTTCATTTTTATTTATTTTAGTTTATGTTTTAGAAAGTTCTGAGACCAGATATTCTTAGGAAAGAAGTTGCTTATGATTACTTCCAAGAAGTTTGTAAGAATATTGTTTAGTGCAATTCTTGAAAGAATTGTACGAAGTTCTCAAATATTCTCTTAAGAAGATTGATCTTTTATCTGATTGGATGATTTTGCTGATCAAGTCAATGAAAAACACCTCAAAGTTATGAAATTATAAAATTTAACGCAAGGTTTTGCATGGGTTGTTATTGAATTTTGAATTCAGCAAAAATGTTATATATACAATGACAATTCTACTTAAAACATCATGTTTGTGCTTAAATTTGTGCTTAAAAAATGTGTATGTGTGCATCTTGCTAGTGTTACTGTTTCGCGTGTCAGGAGTGAGCTGCGCTTCGACCCGTCTGATGTGTGTGTAACTGCAGGCTCGCTGTGGATGCTGGTTCTCTCTCAGGTTCTTTGTGCTCATGCTGAATATCTCAGTCAGGCCTGACCGCACGTAACCCGTCTGTCACCTCAGAGAAGCCCACCTACCGCTTAAACGGATCAGTGTGTGTGTGAGCGAGCGCAAAATGCTTCATAGGCCAAATGTTTTCACTGGCAGCTTCAGTCAGCGGCTCTTTAGTGATGGGTGGCTGCTTTGAAGGATGATGGGAAATCACTCCCTCCTGCCAGGACGATTTATGCCCCCTGTACACTCAGACCTGCCCTCTTTAGAGCGGACGTCGAGATATACGACAGGCACAAAGCTGCTGTTCACTAAGAGGCTACTAGTTAAATGTAAAAACTGTTTACTGAAGACTTTCTTTCTTCTGTGAAAAAAAAAAACATTTTGAAGAAAAAACAACCCCATTGATTTTTGAACAAAAAACACTTTTTTAAAATCTTGGTAACACGTTACACTATGGGTCAGATTAATTAAACATTTGTTAATGCAATTTTATTTAAAGATAGTAAAACACATGCATAGCAATGAATTTATATTTATTTAACAATATTTACTAAATTAGAAATAATTTGAAAATAAAAAAAAATAAAAAAGTGAACTTGATAAAAAAAAATCTGTAAAATAAGCAGATTTATTTAGATTTTTTTACCATTTTTTTTTATATCTATCCATCGATCTAATATAAAATAATAATTGTTATACATTTCATTATAAATGCATTTTTATTAGTCTTTTTTAGATTTAATTTATATTTATTTCCGTTTTAATTTTAGAAAGTTCTGGGACCAGATATTCTTAAGGAAGAAGATAAGAAATTTAAGAAAGATAAAGAATTCTAAGAAGTTCGTAAGAATGATCTTCAGGACAGTTCTTGAAAAATTTGTAAGAAGTTAGAACATTTATCGTTTATCTAATTGTATGATTTGCTGATCAACTCAACGAAAAACACCTCAAAGTTTTGTAATTATAAAATATAATTACAGCAAAAAGTCAAGTCATGCATAAACATGAGCGATCATTGGTGTCACTTCAGAAAACTTGTGCACATCACTAATAAGAGTAATATGCATAGCTAGTGTTATGTTGTAATGCTTAATATTTGAACAACTCCAAAAAATAAATGAAACATCTTACATTTGAGGATTTAAGACAGGTTGGAGGTTGTTCTAACTTTAAGAGTTTATTCAATTTCTTCTTAAGTTTTGTCTTATGAACAATCTTTAAAAAGCAGATAAGAACATTCTTAAAGGGATAGTTCACAGAAAAAATAAAATTGTCCTCATTTAATCACCCTCAAGTTGTTCTGAACCTGTAGGAGTTTCTCCTGTTGAAGAATGTTGGTAACCAAACAGTTGCTGGTCCCTATTGACCTCCATAGTATGGAACAAAAAAATACTATGAAAGTCAATGGGGACCAAAAACCGTTTGGTTACCAAAATGTATTTTGTGTCCAACAGGAGACAAGTTGGACAGAGGTTTGGAATAACTTGAGGGTAATTACATGATGACAAAATTTTCAGTTTTAAGCGAACCGTCCCTTTAAGAAAGTTTTTGGGAAAACAAAATATTCTTGTTTTTTCTTAAGTAAGAAAATCGCAGTTAAGAAGAATTTTATTCTTAAGAATGGCTCCTGCATCTGGCTCCTGGTTTGTTCAGATCATCACACAATAGTGACCACAGAAGTTCCTGCATGACATTATACATTGCTGTTTTTATAGCAAAATAATTGTTTTGTTAATCGCTGCTTTTTACTGCTGTATTTTTATTGTATTTTTATGAGCTATAGCTATCAGAATATCAGAGAGATTTGGAGTTGGTCCTGGAAAGCGCCCACAGCTCTCAGCGTTGTGGCACAGGCAGACGGCACTCATATTCTCCTCAGAAAATGTACAAATCTAGTTTCCAAGTAGCCGAGACTGTTGAGGAACAGAGGATTGATTATACACACGCACACCACTCATCCTTGCATTTGTGGTTTAGGGGACTCTCCATAGGCGTAATGCTTTTTATACTGTACAAACTGTATTTTCTATCGCCCTACACCAACCCTACCCCTTACAGAAAACTACTGGCCATTTTTGAATGTCATAAAACACCGTTATGTATGTTTTTTTAAGCCTTTTGTTTTACAGGGACACATGAAGTGTGTTTACGTTGTAGTAACCATGTCATTATACACATTTGTGTCCTCATAAACCATATATACCAGTACACACACACACACACACACACACACACACATCAGTCTGATTGGAAAAGAAAGTCAGATTGTTGTGAAAGTGTTTTTGAGCAATGAAAGAGTACAGGGGGAAATTCATTCTTTCCTTCCTTTACAATAAAGTGCCACTTAACACTTCACATAAACACTCTGTTCTTCTCTTCACACACACACACACACACACACACACACGCATGCACGCACACACACATTCACTCAGTCACTCACTCACTCACGCACACACACACACACTCACACACACACACAGGTTTACATTTGTGAAAAGTGGGGACTCTCCATAGGTGTAATGGTTTTTATTCTGTACAGACCGTATATTCTATTGCCCTACACCAACCCTACCCCTAAACCTACCCCTCACAGGAGACTTT